CATTGTTTATGTGTTGATGTTGTTGCTTTTGTCTCTGTTTATTTACTTATTTCGAGTGGATTTCACTTCTTTCTTCGTACCTGCAAAGAACAGAAACATGCACCAGTCAGTGAATATTCGAATGGAGTACATACAAATACTGTCATACCGTCGGATAGTTGTTTTAACGCGAAAATTTCGAAAGAAAATTGTGTAAGGTTAAAAACAAAGTATCTTTGTGATAATAACAAAAGCAACAATTGAGGGAAATATCCGAATTTTTATGTCGAATGTTTTTTTTTTTGTGTTAAATACTCAATGAATAAAAGTGTTAAACAATGGTAGACTGATAAAAAAAATATCTAATTTCAAATTGAGTTTAGAAGAAGGGTTTAAAATAACAATAACAAAAAAAAAAGATACCAATTGTAATAGCAGTTTATTTGAGGAGGGAACATTAATACCACCGGGGTCACATATCAGTCCTGTGTTGTGGGATCCGCTTGTAATGGAGGAGAACACACACATCTTTGAAACTGGTTATACAGTTGCGGCAATGATTCGCTACGTCAATATATAAATTTGCCTCTCTATAATTTTTTTGAGACTCTCCCACTATACCTGCTCTCAGCTCATTTAATTCATATTTGCTCAAAATCATGTTAACATTTCAGGGGATTCCCTTATAATTTGGACACACAGACACCTGACACTAGATAGTGCGGCATATATTTACTCCGCCTGTGTAGAAATTTGTCATCTATCAACTAGACCCGCTAACTGTATCATACAACATAGTTGGTAGCCCTTGAACTATCAAAGGTATTTGATATAGTTAACTACGCCACACTGTTTGAGGATGTAGAGAAAACTACTCTGCGGCCAAGTTTGAAACATTGGATAATCAACTATATTTGTTGATGCAAATCGTACGTGGGATTCCGCAACAAGAAGTCCAAAACCGGTATTGTGAAACAGGGAGTTCCCCAAGGTGGCTGATATATCTGGAACTGTTTATCCTCAACCTTTCTGGAATTTCTTGCCTTTCAGACGACATAGATATCATAACGAATGCGGAAACGTATAGGAAAACGTGGATCTAAATGTTCTGCCGCCGGAGCTAGAACTCATTGTGAACTACAAATACCAATTTCTAGATAAGTCCGTGGGAAAAATGATGCAAAAATCATGAAAATACTGAATATCTGGGCTATATGAAAACGTGGACCCATACATACTATGTTCCGCCACGGGAGCTAGAACCCATTACAAACTACAAATATCAATTTTTAGAGAAATACGTGGAAAAATGTGACAAAACACCGACTATTGGGAGGTACTATGGGGAGAATTATACTAAAACATGGACCTATATACCTTGTTCCGCCAATTTTTAGACAAATCCGTGAAAAAATGTTGTAAAAATCATCGAAATACAGAATGTCGTGAGGTACCGTATATGGGGGCTATACGAAAACGTGGATGTTTCGCCACCGGAGCTAGAACTCATAATGGCCAGCAAATGCCAATTTTTAGACGAATCCGTGAAAAAAGGGACAAAAATGATCAAAATACTTATTATAGGAAGGTATCGTTGTATGGGGGCTATACAAAAAAGTGGACCAATACATTCAATGATTTTCTGCCGGAGCTATGACCTACAAATACCAATTTTTATGGCGGCTATTCCAAAACGTGAACTGATATATCTCATTTTAATACCAATCATCCTAGACACAATATAAATTATTCTGCCAAATTTTGAATCCCTACGTCAAATAATATGAGCTGTATCGTGATTTCAACAGACAGACAGATGTACAGACTTAGAACTTTATACTGATTATGAATAAATATACTTTATGGAGACTACGACGAATATTAAGGGATGTCAAAAACGGATTGACAAAGTTTATATACCCTCCTTTTCAAGTTGGGTGGTATAACAAAGTCCTCAAGGCGCTAGCTGGCAGCACTTGGGGTGTGGACAAGGAGACCTTATGATATAGGTTGGTCTGTGGTCAGTGTGGTCTGTGAATATAAGCGCTACGCAATGAAAGAACACCCAGACCTGTCAGAATGCTGCCTGGAGAATTGCGATATGATGCCAGTGGGCTATATACATGAGGAGGCGAAGGTCCTTCTAATAGATCAGCATAATGATATACTTTCGTTACAGTTCCTGCTTGGGTGTTATCGTGGAAGTCTTCTAAACTGTCATATGATGGATACAACTCCCACACCCAGACGTGTCAGAAATACATGATCTAGAGAGGGAGGTCCAACGAGCCTCCAGATCAAGAAGCGCATCAGGCAGGTCTGAGTAGCATTCATACTGATGCAGTCACAGATGCTATCAATAATTACAGCATGAATGCCATCCTCGAAATCCACCACCATCCATTGCAGCTGAAGAACGTTGGTTGCCCAGACAAACCATGGCAGTTCTGGTGCAATTACGTTCAGGATGGTGCAGTCGTCTCAATTCGTCGTTATGTCCGACGTCTACCCGACGTGTGATACACTCACTACAGAAGACTTCTGGTTGTAGCCCGTAAAAGCAACCAAATTTTTTAACCCGAAATTAGAATCGGAATAACATAATTCGAACAAAACATGTGAAGTTGTTCTAATAGTTCCGCTAATAATTTAACTGCATTTTTCCATTATAACATTACGATGTGCAAAGTTCGAACCAAACCGCATGCCCAGTTCGAGATTTTTTTCTGCGTTCCAGTGGGCAGAGAGGGATGAACATAGCTGAAAATATTCTGAAAGGGATTTCTTCAAAACCACATGGGGACCAAAATCGTTATTTCGATGAGTCATATTTTATAAGAATCGTGGGAGGACCTGGAGTAATTTTACAGGAAAAATTTGATTTTTGAAATGGTATCTAAAAACATTTCTGGGTATGTCGCTGAATATATATACCCTTCGTACCCATAAGACTGAGGGTATAGTTATACTTTGCCGTTATACGAGTTCTATGCTAAAACATGGATTATTACAAACTTAAAAAATATAGATTGATAGTGGATTTATTTGAAAATGCTAGCAAATGTTGGAGATGTTTTTAATATTGGTTTATGTTGGTTAAATGACCACCATCAATAAATAAAAAATGTCTCAAGTTGAGCGGAAATGACCATCTAATGAGCCACAGGTTTGAGCCAAATGTGTGCTAAATTTTAATCCACCATTTTATTAAGTGTCTAACACGATTGATTTGACTCAGAAATGTAAGCTGATTATTATTTCGAGGAATTGCTGAGGGTCGACACCTGAAAAAATATTCCCCCATTACTTCTAAGCGGACATAGGTCATAAATCATATATTCTTAATCAGATAGTTCAATTCTATTGAATTAATAAAATCGATTTCGAAAGATCAAAGTGTACTGCCAGCAGAACAAAGTATATATAGATAGCATAAACTTTTACAAAGATAACGGTGTACCTAGTGCAAAAATAAAATGAAAATGACGTACATAAATACTTATGTAGTCTGTGTTTACTACTTGTCATAACATTACATAATTTTATATGTTGAACATTGATTCCAAAACCATTGTCTGGTCATATAGACTTGCTAATATTGTAGGTGATTGATTATCTAAATTATTTTAGGTTGATTGTCTTCCACTTGTGATAAGAAGTTGGCTGGATGCCGATTCTTAATGTACAACATGTGTGATACTCACGCAGACGTTGTAAAGGTCTATACGACGACATGAACCTGCATAGGTAACTTTTGTCATAAGTCATTACAATATTCAAATGCGAAACTTAAAAAAATCGGTGCATAATGTAGCTAAAATCATCAAAATACCGAATATCGGGAGGTACCGTTTTATGAGGGCTATGCGAAGACGTGGACCTGCATTGACAATTTTTTGCCTTAGGCTGTAGTATCCATTACGAACTTCAAACACCGAATTTGAAACAATTCCGGTGAATAATGTCGCTAAGAATAAGAAGTTGGCTGGATGCCGATTCTTAATGTACAACATGTGTGATACTCACGCAGACGTTGTAAAGGTCTATACGACGACATGAACCTGCATAGGTAACTTTTGTCATAAGTCATTACAATATTCAAATGCGAAACTTAAAAAAATCGGTGCATAATGTAGCTAAAATCATCAAAATACCGAATATCGGGAGGTACCGTTTTATGAGGGCTATGCGAAGACGTGGACCTGCATTGACAATTTTTTGCCTTAGGCTGTAGTATCCATTACGAACTTCAAACACCGAATTTGAAACAATTCCGGTGAATAATGTCGCTAAAATCATCAAAATACCGAGTATCGGGAGGTACCATTATATATGGGGGCAATACGAAGACGTAAACCTGCACAGACAATTTTCTGTCTTAGGTTGTAATGGATACTACAACGAACTTCAAATACCAACTTTGAAACTATTCCGGTAAATAATGTCGCTAAAATTAACAAAAATTCCGAATTTTGGGAGGTACCGTTATATGGAGACCGTACGAAGATGTGGACCTGCACAGACAATTTTCTGTCTTAGGCTGTTGTATCCATATCGAACTTCAAATACCAAATTTGAAACAATTCCGGTGAATTATGTCGCTAAAATCATCAAAATACCGAATACCGGGGGCTATATCTATATTATATGGGGGCTATATCAAAACGTGGACCTACATGGTCCATTTTCAATACCAAAAGCCCTGCAGACATAATATACATTTGAGTAAAATGTTATCAATCTACCTTATTTCGTTCGGGAGCTAGTGTGATTTAAACAGGCGGACAGACAGAATTTTATGCTGATCAAGAATATATATACTTTGTGGTGTCTAAAATGTATATTTCGAGGTGTTACAAACGGAATGACAAACTAAATATACACTGCATACTATTGTATAGGGTATAAAAATGGGAATTTATGCCCTGGGATTTCTTTATTATCTTCCAGTCTAGCCAACAGTTTTGAAATTTAACTCAATATGCAATAATATTTATTTTTCTATTTTCATTTCTTTCCAGTTACTGACATGGATGCTACATCCGATTGTAGTCGACCTTTGTCAGCGTGTCAAACTGCCTGTGGCTCATCACCACTGGAAGAGGACCATGATGATCTCAATGCCAAAGAAGATGATATGACATTTTGTATGTCGAATTATGCAAAAGAAGCTCTCAAAATGATGTTTATGATGCGTTCGCACAATATGTTGACGGATGTTATACTCGAAGTCAAACATGAATTGTTTCCAGCTCATAAAGTTGTGCTCTCCGCTGCATCGCCATACTTTAAGGCCATGTTTACCGGTGGTCTTAAAGAAACCGAAATGTCACGTGTTCAATTGCAAGGGGTTAGTATCCTAATGATGGAAACAATTGTTTGTTGTTTCATTCAATTAAAATGCCTCTGGGGTAAATATAAATTGCCTGCTAACATACACAAAGGGGTTTTCTTGGCTTCTTAATTAGGTTTGCCCTACAGCTATGGGTCGTATCATATATTTCATGTATACTGGTCATATACGGGTAACGGAAGTGACTGTCTGCCAACTATTACCTGCCGCAACCATGTTCCAAGTGCCAAATGTGATAGATGCCTGTTGTGCCTTTTTGGAGCGTCAATTGGATCCAACAAATGCCATAGGAATAGCAAATTTTGCCGAACAACATGGCTGTACGGAGCTGCAAAAGAAAGCAAATCATTTCATAGAACGACACTTTACCCAGGTAAATAGTTCAACTTCTTTTGATAAGCAAGACATAACTAATACCTAAACTCTCCTCTCAGGTCTGCCAAGAGGAAGAATTTCTACAGCTATCTGCCTATCAACTAATTGCCCTTATACGTCGCGACGAACTTAATGTTCAGGGTGAACGTGAAGTTTACAATGCCGTTCTGAAATGGGTTAAATATGACGAAGAGAATCGCTACCCGAAAATGGAACACATTCTATTTTCGGTGCGTTGCCAGTTCCTGACACCGACATTCCTCCGAGAACAAATGAAAAACTGTGATGTGCTACGTAAAGTACCGGCTTGCCGCGAATATTTGGCGAAAATTTTCAAAGACCTGACACTGCACAAACGCCCTGTGGTCAAGGAACGTAAACCGAATACAACACGTATGATATTTGTTGCCGGTGGCTTTTTCCGCCAATCTCTGGATATACTGGAAGCGTACAATGTGGATGACAAAACATGGACAACACTGCCAAGTTTACGTATACCTCGTTCGGGTTTGGGTGCAGCATTTCTAAAGGGCATTTTCTATGCGGTGGGTGGTCGAAATAATTCCATAGGTTCGTCATATGATTCGGATTGGGTTGATCGCTACAATGCTCTGACCGAACAATGGAGACCGTGTGCACCAATGTCAGTGCCGAGGCATCGGGTGGGAGTCGCCGTTATGGATGAACTTATGTATGCTGTTGGCGGTTCAGCTGGTTCCGAATATCATAATACAGTTGAATAGTAAGTATTGGGAGAATTTTCATCCAAGAGAGAAAAAATTATGTAAAGACAATAAAGATCTTCTCAAAAGGTTTGAATATCTTTTCACTCTTATATATGACGCGTAGATCTTCTCATAAAAGACCTGAAGATCTTCTCTGAATATCTCATAGAAGCCATGGAGATATTGTAATGGAAACTTGTTGGTCTTTTTACAGAAAATCAGCTAAATGATAGGAGACCTGTAGATCGTCTAAAGAAGATCTGTTGGTCTTTCCATAGATCTATAAATCTTTTATTATACCTTCTCATTGAAGAGCTTTTTTTTCTTATAAACCCTTTTCTTTGCTTATGAAGACCTTCCCAAGATGGCCTGAAAATTTTCTCTAAGAAGAGTTGTAGCCCTCGGAAGATCTGTCGAAGTTCTTATAAATGTTCACTAGATTTTTTCACAGAAGCTCCTTTAGATAAGAAGAAGGTATAGAAGGTTTGAAGATATTCTCATCGAAGATATGTAGATCTTCTCATAGGAGATATAATTTTATGAGCATTTTTGATGCATTAATCCATGATATGTTCCTAAATCCCATCCACTAACCATTTTCTAACTTTTCCTAACAAAAATGTAACTAATCCCATCTTATTTGTTCTCTTATTTGTAGCTATGATCCGGAACAAGATCGTTGGTTTTTGGTACAACCAATGCATGCTAAACGTTTGGGCGTTGGTGTTGTGGTTGTAAATCGTCTGTTGTATGCAATCGGCGGATTCAATGGTACCGAACGTTTGGCAACGGTGGAATGCTATCATCCGGAGAATAACGAATGGAGTTTCGTAAAACCCATGACATATGGCCGCAGTGGTGCTGGTGTTGCGGCCATACATCAATTTATCTACGTGGTTGGGGGGTTTGATGGTAACCGACAACTTTCCTCGGTGGAACGTTATGACACGGAAAATCAAGTTTGGGAACAAGTAGCTCCAATTAAAATTGCACGAAGTGCTCTCTCACTCACATCATTAGATGGTAAACTCTATGCCATTGGTGGTTTTGATGGCTCCAATTTCCTATCAATCGTTGAGGTATATGATCCCAAAACAAATACATGGGAACATGGTACACCATTAAGTTCGGGCAGATCGGGTCATGCATCGGCTGTGATTTATCAACCATCGTGTGTTACGAATTTCATGGATTGTATGGAGGAAGAGGGACCGAAACGTGATTACGGCGGCAATAGTCCTGATGATCCGCGATCCAATCAAAATATGGGCGACCAAGGAGGTGGACGGCATGGTGATGGTCCCACGGGTGGTTCAACAACGGCGGGCGGTTTTCATACATCGTTTGGCAGCAGTGGATGTAAAAATTGTGAAAGTGGAATAAGAATGCCTTCCAATGATGAGGACATACCATGTACGAGTAGAAATACACGGCGAAGTTATGCACAGCCTATAATAAACGAAAATGACATCGAATCAGTTGCAAAACCCATAGCTATATCCACTGTTGGCAGAGTGGGCTGTCAAAATTGTGAAAAAGAAAACGCTTCAACCCCAATGTATAGCTTGGCATCCACAAACGGTACAGCTACAAACGCCTTGGCACCAGTTTCCTTAACCAAACGAGTGCCGCGGAAAAAATCCCGCAGACGTTGGTGTAAACTTGCCCTGGGAAAAAGAAAATATCAACCAAATGCTGAAATAAACACAAAATCACAATTGTCTTCTACAAATCAGCCATTAATTACAATTCCGTCCACTGGAGAAACCGAAGAGAGCCTCAACGAACACAGTTGCAATGAGAGGCGTACAAGCGGTGAAAGTACAGATAAGCCCCCAACTAAACGAAAATGTCCCATAGCTCAGTGCAAGGCACAGTGTGTTGCCCAGGCAATAAAAAGATATGCCCACGGTCGGGCCATAATACATGATTTTGTACAGTGCTTGCTAGAGAGGAAGGTGTCCGTTGTATGATGATGACAATATGCCAAAATGTACGGGGCAATGATTTTTTTCTAATGAAAAAGTACCCAAGTGTTCCATACTTAATGTTTACATATATATAAACAAGATGTGATATCAGTTTTTCTTCTTCTTGAAATAAATAATAAAATAGTTGTTAACCAGAGAGAGAGAGTTTTAACTGCTAAAATGTTTAAAAAATTAACATCAATACCTACTATTTGCCACACCACTTTCGAATGTATCTCAAAAATTGACAAATCTTCTTATTTTAAACATACAAAGAAATATTGTTTTACGATTTTTAAATCTTGATTTAAATTAATACCTTATTGATAGAACAGCAACGAAATAAAATTAGACAAACCTTTAAAAAAAATATAATATTGCAATATAGCATCTGACGATTGGAAAGGCAATTCTAGTTTAAAAGCCGATTTTTAAGATTTACGTTAAAAATTAGTTCAAAGAATAAATTTGAATACCTGATTGTTTCCTTGCAAACATATATAAATGTATATCATTCCCTGCATCCAAAAACACAACACACAAACATATTCCATAGTAATAATATACAATAGTAATATTTGGTAACTATGATTTATATAAGTTATACAATTGTTTTAAACTTAGCATAGCTAAACAAAATCCCTAAAATTACATTTTTTTACTTAAACAACCATTTACTCCTTTAAAATAAAGAAAATAGAAAGTATGTTTTTGTTTTAAATTTATTCCTTTATTTTTATTATTAATTGATAAAACAAATTCCATTAGGAAAAACCAAAAATGCATTCTTCAAGAACACTATTTACAAACTTCTCTGCTTGCGGGGTCGTGGTGGATTCCATGAAACGGGAGTGTTATCGGTTATTGATACAATGTTAAGTCCACTCATCTGTAGCCCTTTAATGGCAGACTGAAATGAAAACAATAAAAATAAAATGAAAATTTTAAAATGTTGTATTGAGTATTTGTTTAACAAATTTAGAAAATTAAAAAAATGAATTCAAGTAAAACATCTTTATATTTAATGTCCCAATTAATGTGAGAATCTCAGAACGTATTAAACCAAGATGTGGATTTATTTTGAGTACTTTTTCAAAACTCCTACCCCGAATTTCATAAAAAAAAATATAATAAACCTGGTGTAACTAAAGCCGCAATGTTTGACGCCTGGTCAGATACTCAAACAGATCTAAAATGAAAGAGAACCAATATATTCGTGAGGAGCTCATATGAGTTAGATCAAAATTGTAGCTTCCTCTAATTAGAATATGTACATGTTTTAAATGCCGTAGAACTGATGTAGCTTGAGCTATATGGTCCTGAGAGGATAGTTGTAGCATTTATAATCAACACGTTTGTTCCGATAATCTAGTCCTGATTCTAACTTCAAGTATAAAAATGTAGTTGCTTCAAGTGTGATCGCACATTAAGCTACTCAGACTTGCCTGATAGGCCTCTTGATCTAGAGGTTCTCTTTTATAGCGTTGAATCTTTCTCCCTAGATCATGAGATCTCTATTGACCTGCCTGGGTGGCAGGTCATCCAAACAGCCATATGATGGTTTGGATGACTCCCATTATAGCACTCAAGCAAGTTATGCTGACGTACTGGAAGGACCTTCACCTTCACATGTAAATGGTCCACTGGAGTCATGAGGAGGCACCCTGTTGCCGTTCTCAAGGCAGCACTCTGGGTACTCGCATACCACACTGGGGTCGCATAGCTGACCGCAGACCGACCTATCCCGTTATTAGAGGTCAAGAAGGTCTCCCTGTCCGCACCCCAAGTGCCGCTGGCTAGCAGTCCATTTGGTAAGAACTGTGGTCTTTGATTTCTTCGTCCTCAAATAGCGGCGAATTTAATGTAATAGGAGTTCAACGCACGTATTCATGGTACGTCTTTGAGAAGTTATGACTTATTACCACTACTTTCAAAGAAGTTGGAAAAACGAATATTAAATGTTCAATGGTGTGGTCATTGATTTTTTCGTCCTCAAATGGCGGCAAATTTAATGTGATAGGAGTTCAACCTAACAGATGCATACGTACGTCTTTAACGACCCAATATCTCAATGTCTTATAATGGGAGAAGTTATGACTTACTACCACTACTCTCGGAGAAGTCGGAAAATGTGAACGAATATTAAATGGTCAATGGTCTTACTTCTACAAAGCAAGTCGGAGATGTGAGAACTGCTGTGCGATCAACATAAGTCTCTGTTATGTGAAATCCAGTTTTCTATGTTTTATAGGACTTGAAGCTCGAAGGAACTGTTCTAGTAAAGGTGATTTGATTTATTTTAGAAAATGTTGGTGTCAAGAAATCGGTCAAATTGTTTAATGACTTTCATCATTTAATTACTCACCATTCTTCCGGGTCCCAAGCCGCGTACTTTTACGCGAATAGTTTTCCAGCCTAGTTCAAGGGCTTTCTAAAATACAAAACAAATCAATCATCTGCTTTTAGTAATACACAAAAAGTTCTTTCTTACTGATCCGACTGTAATAGCCGTGGCCTGCGCAGCAATGTTGGTACCTTTGCGAGTATTTTTGAAGCCTTCACAACCGCAGGAATGTGTTAATCGTGGTACACCTGTAAAATGAAAGAGTTAAGTAATTCACTGCAATGGCAGATATGATGTTTTATGAGACTGTGGAATACTTTGTCTATGTTATCAAAAGTAACAAAACATATCATATGTCCATGTGGCAAAATTCATAAGCTCTTTTTACTCACTCACAGAGATGTGGCACTATTTCTATAACATATAATTTTACAACGTATTAAAAAAAATATGGGACATTGATAATTTCCGCCCTATGGATTCCTTAAAGTTAGTTAGTGCAATGTACGTATTAACACTGGTTTTTGGAGTAGTTTGCCTTTGACCGGGGCTTGAGATTTTCTTCTATGGATATGTCTAACATCGGCTACGCGGCCCAAAGTTTTCTAAATATGATAATTTTCAAATAGTTGCAATCAGATGCGCTAGAGCTTCATGTTGATAACCAGTAAGCCTTGGTTGGACTTACAAACACTGGAAATAAATCAGGCACTAAACGATACTTTAAGAAGCCCATAACTCGGGATGTATGAACCTGTGGCAACATTTTCACTCATAATATCTCGCATTGGTTATACATGTCTCACCTTTACTATCCGTAAATACAATGATTGTGTTATTTGATGATACACGGATATTAGCAACTGGTATTTCACTGAATGGCAAGCCATTGAACAACTGGGTTGAAGTACTGGCATCGGGGAAGAACTTCTCTTTTCTACAAAAGTCGCAAAATGTTCGTTTGAATAGTTTACAAATATATTATTTATTTATTTTAAACTTACTTTCCAAACAAGGTATCAATGTCAATGGATTTCTCGCCGGTAGTACCTTCATCCCGGCCAGGCATTGATGCAAGCATTTGTTTTCGATCTTCAGCTTTCATCAGAACAGCTGAACTGTGCAATGCCTTTGTCCATTGCTGTTGCACCAAAGGACGGCTTGAGGGTTTGAGAACAGACGAGAGAATAGTTTTCAATGACATTTTCACTCAGGAATTAGCCAAACTGGATTGGCATGGACCAGACCACGCAAATGACAGAAATTCGGGGCTTACACTCGAAAACAAATGCATGAAATTACATCACAAAATCAGCTGGTTAAGGGTTGAACAGAATCGAGCGTCTGGCATCGTCGAAGCCAAATTGTAAAGGGCAACGGCGTCACATCAGCGGCTTTGTCACTTTTTTTATAATTTGACATTCCAAAATAAGAAAATGAAGAGTAGTACTGACGGTGCTTTCACTTTTATTCCTCCAACCAATCAACTGCACAGCCGATTTCTTTAAGCTCTGTTCCAGAACCTGCAAAATTTCCCCTTTATGATACCAAAAAGAATTACAAAACTAGAACGTTCTTGCAGGTTTTAGAGTAGAGCAAGTTCTCATTTAAGTTTGAACTTTTACAATTATTAATTTCATTATATTAACGTTTAAAACATAATATTTCAAAAATGGACAAAATTCAAATTTCAAATAAAATTGAATTGATTTTTTTTTTTTTTTAAATTTCTTGTCTGCGCCACGAAATATTGTTGCCGCCGGCAAAATAGACATTACACCGCAACGCTGCCGATTGCTTTACACCTGATGAGCCACCGCCGTCGAAAAAATCGATACACTTTGTTGACAGCTCACAGTTTTAGTTTCACGTGGTTCTGTTTGGTATTTTAAGTTGTATTTACATCAGGAAACTCAGGAATCATGGCTTTAAAACGTTTAAAAAGTATGTTTAAATAAATTAAACCAAAAATTATATATATTCTACAATTAATCCTTCGTGTTTTAGCAAAAAAGTCCAAGCGTATGACGGGCAAACTAAAGCACAAAATTGAAAAGAAAGTCCGTGAACACAATAGGAAAGTGCGTCGTGCCGAAAAGAAGAATCCCAAGAAGGGCAGTAAGAAACAAAAGCTAATTCAAATTCCAAATATATGTCCTTTCAAAGAAGATATCCTCAAGGAGGTGGAGGAAGCCAAGAAACGTCAGGAAGAGGAAAAGTTGAGGAAACGCGAAGCCATTCGCTTGGAAAGAAGTCAGAATAAGTTTAAAACTTTGGAAGCCTTGGCCGATGATGCTGATATGCGTGGTACGGTGCACACAATAATGCACGAAAATGATGTTACCAGTGATGAGGTGAGATGGACAATTGAAACATTATTTTCACATTAATACATTCCTATTTTTTAGAAACAATATAAAGTTTCCGATACCAAGGAGCAATCGTTGAAACAATATTTCAAAGAATTCAAAAAGGTTTTGGAAAATGCTGATGTTGTTTTGGAAGTTGTGGATGCACGTGATCCTTTGGGTACACGTTGTACGGAAGTTGAACGTGCCGTTAAGGCTGCACCAGGCAACAAACGTTTGGTGCTCATCCTAAATAAAGCCGATTTGGTACCCAAAGAAAATTTGAATGCTTGGTTGAAATATTTTAGACGTTTGGGCCCAGTAACTGCATTTAAGGCTTCTACACAAGACCAAAATACAAAATTGGGTAGACGTAAATTTCATCAAATGAATTCAGAGAAGGCCATGCAAGGATCAATGTGTGTTGGTGCAGAACTGTTGATGTCTATGTTGGGTAATTATTGTCGCAACAAGGGCATTAAGACATCGATACGTGTTGGCGTTGTGGGTATACCAAATGTGGGTAAAAGTTCCATTATCAACTCTTTGACTCGTGGCAAATCATGTTCCGTTGGCTGCACTCCTGGTGTGACGAGGTAAGTTATTCTCGTTTTATACAATTTTTGAGTCCTTTAGTCTCCTCAGCCTCGATTGCCACCAGATTGGGAAAATAAAATTAATTTTAAATGATTTTTCACTTTTGCGTTGTCCTTAGCACAACTGAAATACGTTTTATGGCCATAAAATATTAAATTCCGTATCAAAACCGCGTTACTTGTGGCATATTGGTTACATATCAAAAACGTTTTTAAAGGGTTCAATATAAGTCCAATTAAGGCACTGTCTATATGGAACTCCAATTTACATAGTTCGGAAATCACCGCCTTTTTTAAATAATTTTGATAAAGAAAGCGTTCATGTGATCCACCCATTAGATATTCATCCTTATTACTTCCAAGTAAAGATGACTTTTTAAATTTAAATAATCCAATATATAATTAAAATTCGCATTTCTCATCTATTGTTTCTATTTATCTTTCAGAGCTATGCAAGAAGTCGAATTGGATTCTAAAATTAAACTGATCGATTGTCCTGGTATTGTCTTTGCCAACTCTGCCAAGAATGATAATATGCCTGCAGTCCTTAAAAATGCACAGCGTGTGGGTGATGTCAAAGATCCTTTCACAGTGGCTGAAAGTGTGTTGAAACGTGCAAGCAAAGAATATTTCTGTAAATTATATGATATTACCGAATATGATACGTTCGAGGAGTTCTTTGCCAAGAAAGCAGCACGTATGGGTAAATTCTTGAAGAAAGGTGTTCCCGATGTTGTTGCGGCTGCTCGTAGTGTTCTAAACGATTGGAATACAGGAAAGATTAAATATTGTACACAACCTCCAGAGGTAGCAGAAAATAATGATGTCCATGTCAGTGCTTCCATTGTACATGCTGAGGCACGTGAATTTGATGTGGACAATTTTGAACAAATGGAAACGGATATTCTTAATAATTTCGATGTAAAGAAAGATGATGTTATGGAAATTACCTCCACCGGTCCAGTTGAATATAAGCCAATGGATGATGAAGATGACACAGAAGAAAAGGAAGATGAAAAGAACACCATTATCGATGAAACTGAGGTACATAGTAAACGAAAGAAGAGGAAACTGGATGAGGATGATAAGAAGGAAAAACATGATCCTGCCTTGGAATTAGAGGGTAAGACATTTGCTTAATTAAAGATATTTCGAAAATACAAATCCTTCTTCCATTTTAGGTAATCAAACACTTAACAAAAACATCAAAGAACTTATGAAGAAAAAGAAGAAGCAAGAAAAGAAGGTTTCCAAAATTGCCGATGTTTTGGACAGCTTTAGCATAAGCACAAAAACCGATGACAAATATGATTTCGATGAGGACTATGTAATTGATGAATAATCTTCTAGATTTTCTGGGGTATTTTAATTGGAAAAAATTAGTTTTTGTTTATTTTACTATTGTATCGAAATTTATTATATATATAGTTATGTATTGAACAATACATACATTATCTATAGTACATATTTAAGATTTTGTAAAGCTTTAGTGGACATAAAGCAAATACATTGAAAAAAATTAAAACAAATTAAAAATTTAATTTTTGATTTCAAGAAGGATTTCTGAAAGAATATCTCGTTCAAATATCGATAGTCAGTTTACTTTCGTAATCAAGTAGCTTGTGGTTATAATTATATGGGATGAGTTGAGACGACAGAAGAGAACGAGAATATGCGAATTTCGAATCTATGACAATTTTACAATTCTAATTAATATTCGCAGAAGAAAAATCAAAGTAAAATTGGGACGCAACTTTATATAGAAGATAAACCAATACGTGGAAATGAATCCACATATTTGTAAGCTCTCTCTGTCTGGAAGATACTGCAGTTTTTAAAAATAGAATCTTTGATCCAAATCTTAATTATTCCTGATGTGTAAATAGACTCTAAAGTACCGGTGAACTGCTCTGTTGACCACCAGGTCACCACATTATTAAAGAAAAAATGCACACAATCCACAAAAGAACAAAATTTCAAGGTATCAAACTTTTGGATGGATATCTCCTTGTGCAGAACTCTGTCGGTGGTAAATATGCCTGAGGATGTTGAAGAGACTACGATTGATTGCCATTATTTCCCTCGCTCGCACGCGGAAAGCTAGGAACTATGGGCAAGCACTCAATTCACAGTCTCCATACTTATTCAACCATATCTATATCAAACACCCTGAAATTTAACCAAGATGAAAAACAATTTTTATCGATATCTACCATGGTCTGATATTTTCAAATACGTTTATACAGGTTTGAAACAACCTGAAAAAAACATTGTCTTAAGTTTTGCTTTCTACAGTTGTTAAAAAAGAACCAAATTGTACTCATGGTTGTACTATATCGCAAAATCTATATGCCAAATTATGTTATATTTTGCTAGAAATAAGTTACGTATATTTTTAAAAGAAAACTGTCGTCCCTTCTATTGTATTTGGTATGGACGCAGAAGAGATACATGGAGAAAAACACGCTGCATTAGCAGTGCTCTTATGGGGTCCCTATGTGCTTACCTATTGTGTAAATTAATGTTTAATTCTTTCATCTTTCCAAGAAAGTGCGAGCAATTTGTTTTGACCACAATGATTCTGTGTGTGAGTAAGTACTTTGTTTTAAAATTATTTCAGATGATCTTTTATATGCCGTATTTAAACGTGCTTTGCAAAAAAACACGGAGTTATAGCTTTCTGAATAAGTCAACGTTTTTCTTAATTTTTTAACCGCTTTTCCAACTTTTGAGATACTTTCTTTATAGTTTGGTTCTGTTGCTATTTTCAATCTTGGATCTACTCTTAAAACGTATCTGTGATTATCAGTTATATTTCACGATTAAGGGTGCCATATATCGGAATATTCTTGAATGCTTTAAAACTATTTTAGCTAGGGACTAGGGGGCAATTCACTTTCAAAAAGATTGCCAGTTAAAGTCCACGTTTTAGGATAACAATGTTGATGCTCTTGTTTGATTTGATTTTATGGAGGAATCCACCTTTTTGAATGTTGTTAAACTACTTTTGACGCAATTGTAGTTAGGAACTAGTAAACAATTCAATTTCAACAACTAACTCTTCCTTTTCATTCTAGGCTGTGGTTTTGTATTCACCGACTCCGTTAAGTGTGTCGTATATTTAATATTTATAGCGCTGATGGGTAAATCTGGAAGAGGTTATTTGAGGGCCTTGTGCTTTGCTTTCGTTATTGCAGGTTTGACAAATTTAGTTAAAGTCTTCTTTGGCATTGTGAAAATACTATAAAATTACAGGTCCCATTGAGAATCTATCAACGAATGCAGGAGAAATAGTCCGGGTGTATAGCTGCTCAAAAATGCTGGCATTAAATTTAACCCGAACACGTTTTGATTTAATGACAAAACCATTTCAAAATACTTTGGTCCACATGAAGGATGACATACGGGAGGTACAAAAAACTTTTGGTGAATTTCGTAATGTAACAAAGGCCCTGCATAAAGAAGTCATGGAAGATGATCCTCCCACAGTAGTGGATGAGAATGAGGGTACCTTAATAACGAATAAAACTTTGGATACCAATATCACTACAAGAACTATGCGTCATATTATTACTCGGGAAGGAGAGGACCGACTTTCCCCCGAATATATTGAAGAAAAATATAAAAATAAATTTCGTAAACGTTGCCAAATGCAATTGGACAGTGGCAAAGTCCGCTGCCGCAAAGCCTTTGCCAATTCTTTGGACAAATGTCGCGAGAAAATGCCATTTATTTTAAAAACTCTCATTTGTTGGCCATTAAAAATTGATTTCATTTGTAAAATTAATATTTTGGGAAACCCGGAGAAAATTTGTGATCCTTCCGATGCCATACCTGCGGATTTTGGTCAAACCTATGTTAATTTGGTACAAAACGAAAGTAAACTCTACAAAGAGAATTCTGATGTTAAGGTCCATTATGCCATATCAAGTCCAGAATCAATGCCAGAATTTCAGTAAGAGTGTAGGTAGTTATATACAAAATTTTATACATATTTCCCTTTTCATAGGTCTGCCAAAGAAACTGCCAAGTCGGTGGCAAAAGAATTTAATATGAGGAAAAAAGTTTTCGATTCTATATTGAAAATAATGGAACAGCTTCTTGCCTTTATGCTCTTCAGAGTTATTTTGGGTAAGTTAGTTAATAAATAGGAAGTTTATAGTGTGTACGGAAAGTTTAAAACAGCTGGAGCTAAAATAACGACTGATACTTTTAGTCGGTTTGTTAACAATCGTTTATGGTAAAAATAATTTTTAGGAAAAATTTTGATTTTTTTGGGAAAATGGCATGTTTTATGAAACTATACTCGGTGTAAATGGAACATTATATTTATACAGGGTGAGATGAAAAAACTGCAACCAATTGCTGTCATTTCTAAGCCACTCGTCCGACAGCTGTTAAAGTTATTCCAGTGACAGCTCATTATATTGTTTACAAACGTAGAAAAGCATTTTAGTGAGAGTTTTCCAGAAAAAAAGTTATTTGCGATGGAATTCAAGCGTGACAATGTGATTTCTTTATATTTGGCTGGAAAACCACAAGTGGCTATCCGACTTTATGATACCCTACACCACTTTGCTAATTTAGTAGAGCTGCACATAACAATTAAAAGTTTTTATAAGAGAATTCAATCATATACGCTATGCTTATAATTATAATTTAAAATTCAAAGGACTAAATATGCCGAAGCATTTGAATCTTTTAAATTCGGACTTGTATTACACATTTGGTGCACAGTTAATTTGAAATCGGATAAAGATATATATGGGAGCTATATCGAAATCTGAACCGATCTCGATAAAATTTGCCAAAGATATTTCTGAGCTGTATTTGATATATTTCCCTGAATATCGTTGTTACAGAGTGCATATTACGGCTGCGGAGGACAAAAATAACAAATCGGATGAACAATATATATGGGAGCTATAGCTATATCTGAACCGATTTCGATCAAATTTGGCATACTTATTTTCAGGCCCAATCTGATCGTACGTGCAAAATTCCATACTATTCGGACTGATATTACACGTTTGGTGCACAATGAAGGGCAAATCGGACGAAGATATATATGGGAGCTATATCCAAATTTTGACCAATTTCAATAGGGTTCGTCCTTGGGCCAAACAAATGATTTGTGCAACATTTCATCTGGATAGGACAATAAATGCGAACTGTACTTTGTTTACAAAAATACATGGACAGACGGACATGCATAAATCGACTTAGAATGTGATTCTATGCAGATCATCAAAAGGAACTATGGGTCTATCTCGTTTCCTTTTGCCTGTTACAAACAAATGCACAAAGACATAATACCCTGACCACCTTGTGGTGTAGAATATAATTATGGCGTTTGACTTTGTTGCAGTTTTTTTTATCTCACCCGTATTTTGAAATATTCCTACTACAGTTCTTCTGTTATCAGCGCACCTTAAGGTATACGTAACATCTTTCTGAATATAACACATACGTCCCTATGTTCAGCTACTCTCGTATTTTCACTTTGTCTAATTACAGCCTGTATAACATATCACAAAAACTACAACAACAAGATTGATAATGATAATTTTTATATAACGGAATATTTCAAACGTATCGACTATGAGCGTAAACAAAAGGGTAAACTTAGTTTGCTGCCATTGAAAAAGGTATTTTCCACGATTTGTAGATTTGTCAATTAAGTATTTAATAAAAAAAGTCCATTTCCAGTTCGAAAGAACAAAGTTAATTGATGTGGATAATGTGTGGCAACGCACCATGGAAGAATCTCGAGCTGTTGCTTTCCATTTGCTGCAATTTGCTTTGGAAATTATTGCTGCCATGTTTTTCCTCTTCCTGGATTATGTTATTGTTACAGTTCTATTGGTAATACGTAAAAATTCGGAAATTACCTTCGTCCAGGAGGGGGAACATACCATAAAGTTTGCTGTTAGTTTTGTTGTTTTATTTGTGAAAGGAGTTTTATTTGATTTTGATATTTTGCAGATTCATGGATCTGGTTTAATTGCTCGTCTTTTGCGGACAACAATGCGAAATTTCAATATGCATGAAAGAGTTTCAACATATATGACCAATGAACCTTGTTTGCCAAAGCCAAATGTCCTGGAAAGAGGGTAAGTGGGGTATAGGCAAATTTGAAGGTCGGTTATTCTCCACTGTGTCTTCGTTTAATATACCGAAATATTGAAAAATAATTTCCATTTTATTTATATGTCTGAAGATAAATTGTATTTTTTTGGAGTTGTAATGTTATTAACAGAGATCTGTCAACAACATAGGAAAATTAATAATTTTAAAAATTTTGCACTAACATTTAAGAAAACAACAAAAAAAAAAACTGTAAGTTCGGCCGGGACGAACTCTGAATACCCTCCACCAGTTGGAACGAATTTGGCAATTTTAAAAAACAATAAAATCCGTTAAAAATTCTGTTGAAATCTTCAAAATACCGAATGTATATATTATATTAGGGTCTATACGACGACATGGACCCGCACAGGTAACTTTTGTCATAAGTCAGTACAATATTCAAATGCGAAACTTAAAAAAATCGGTGAATAATGTAGCTAAAATCATCAAAATACGGAATATAGGGAGGTACCGTTATATGGGGGCTATACGAAGACGTGGACCTGCACAGACAATTTCCTGTCTTAGGCTGTAGAATCCATTACGAACTCCAAATACCAAATTTGAAACAATTCCGGTGAATAATATCGTCAAAATACCGAATATCGGGAGGTACCGTTATATGGGGGCTATACGAAGACGTTGACCTGCACAGACAATTTTCTGTCTAAGGCCGTAGTATCCATTACGAACTTCAAACACCAAATTTGAAACAATTCCGGTGAATAATGTTGCTAAAATCTTCAAAATACCGAATATCGGGAGGTACCTTTATATGGGGGCTATACGAAGACGTGGACCTGCACAGACAATTTTCTGCCTTAGACTGTAGTATCTATTACGATCTTCAAATACCAAATTTAAAACAATTCGCGTGAATAATGTCGCTAAAATCATCAAAATACCGAATATCTGGAGGTACCTTTATATGGGGGCTATACGAAGACTTGGACCTGCACAGACAATTTTCTGTCTTAGGCCGAAGTATCCATTACGAATTTCAAATACCAAATTTGAAACGATTCCGGCGAGTGATGTCGCTAAAATTATCAAAATACCGAATATCGGGAGGTACGGTTATATGGGGACTATACGAAGAAGTAGACCTGCACAGACAATTTTCTGTCTTAGGCCGTAGTATCTATTACGATCTTCAAATACCTAATTTGAAACGATTCCGGTGAGTGATGTCGCTAAAATCATCAAAATACCGAATATCGGGAGGTACCCTTAATGGGGGCTATACCAAAACGTGAACTTACAGGGCCCATTTATAATACCAAAAGTCCTGCAGACATAATATACATTTGAGTTAAAATTTTATCAATCTACTTCATTTCGTTCAGAAGCTAGAGTGATTTCCACAGACGGACTATTTAACTCTCCCAAAAAAAAAAAACACAATTTATCTTCACACAATTGACATAATATTATTAAGTTAATAATTAATTTTTAGTTTTTACACAAAACTACTTGCCCTATATATTCTGGTCATATTCCTAATATATCAAAGTTCGACATTTTTGCGCATGCGTCGCTTGATCTGTGGCTACTTCTATCGAAAACGTGAAAAGCGGCGTATTATCTATTTGTACAACTGTCTTCTGAGGCAGAGGCGGTCGGCCAAGGAGTCAATGCTAAAACAAGCCAAATTGAATTTTGCAAATCGTAAAATACGCTTAAGAGCAAATATTCTATTGGTAAGACAACAAATATCAACAATTCTGGAGAATTGCAATGATTTGCAAATTGTTTTTCTTTGGTGTAGAAATTACGTTTGCGTTGGCCAAATAGCTTCAATTGGCTGAGACGATTAAACGCTGGTCGCCGAAAATGTGTTATATGCGAAGGGCTTGAGAGTAAATATGACAACTAAATGAGAATCTGATGTGATTTGAATGAATCAAAAAAAAAAAAAAAAAAAACTCAGGATCATAACTATTGTTTCCTACAACAGTTTTCCGATTCATGTTTTATAGTCAAACAATCCAAATCAAAATTGTAATATTGCAAATTTTAAATATTTTCAGATGACAATTTTGTAATTTGCCCCAACCGAGATTGTGGTGTTTCATATTGTGATGAATGCTGGAAAGATATGGAAAATGAATGCTTGGTATGCTCTGAAATGCTGTCGGTAGATATAATTTTGAATTTTAGCGATTTTTATGAAGAGTTTTCTTTTGTTTAAATAAAAGTTTAATTCTGGCCTTTTTTAATAGAAAACATTTGAAAAGATAAAATTTTGATTATCATTCTGAAATAGCATTGCAACCACAAAATTCAGATATTTAAAGAATATCAAAATATGTTAAAACCGAAATTTTTTAGCCAATCAGAAGTTACAATTTGTTTGTGTGTTTTACTGTTTTTATTTGCCTGCAAGTTTTACTAGTTTTCTTCGGGTATGGGAACGCTGTTCAAGTAAAAAAAATAATAAAAATTAGTAGCAGAACTGTGGACTTGAGCCACACTTCGGATCCGGTGACCAGAATCATTATCCTAGAATTTGATGCTGATCAAAAATAATTTAGGGAGATTCTGAGGAATGTTTTGAGGCGTAAGCAAAGCTAAAGGGTGTCCCAAATAGAATGAAATTGTTAAATCTTTCGCTTGAAAGTAACATAGGCTACATATATCAATGAAATTATTTTTGGAACAGGAGATATAGCATCAGAATCGGAGGTACCTCCAAATGATATTGAAATACAGGGTGAGATGGAAAAACTGCAGCCAACTTCAGACTGTTGTTATTTCTAAGCCACTCGTCCGACAGCTGTTAAAATTATGCCAGTGACAGCTCATTATTTTTTTCCAGAAAAAAAGTTATTCGTGATGGAATTCAAGCGTGATAGTGTGATTTCTTTCGTTAGAGAACTCCAGGATTAAAATGTGAATAAATCTTTTGTGTCTCGTACCATCGCTCGTTACCGTGATACCGGTAGCGTAGCATGACGTCCAGGAAGTGGACGGAAGAAAGCAGCAACATCAGCAGAAATGGTTTGAAAAGTAAAGAAGCGACTTGATCAAAACCTGCGTCGCAGTGAGCTGATCATATTGCAATATTCCATTAGGAGAATATTGAAAAATGAGCTCGGGGTAAAGCCATTGAAATTTCAAAAGCGAATACTCAAAAGAGCTAAAGAGTTGCTTCGCTTGGCCGAAAGAGGTGAACTGTCGAATTTGGTTTTCTCCGATGCGAAAACATTCGTTGATCGGGTTTACTTGCCAAAGAGGTCAGATGAAAATGTGCACCTTCGATTGGCCACCAGAACTCAAGCGCCGACCATGGTGATGGTGTGGGCCGCCATAAGAGCCGATGGTTGCTCTCCGCTCGTATTAATCGACCGTGGCCTCAGAATAAATGCCGAATAGTATCGCGAAAATATTCTGGAGGGTGTACGCAAACATTTTTGCCGAAGACCTTGGACATTCCAACAGGACTCAGCACCATCGCACACAGCACGCGCCACCCAAGAATGGATACAAAATGAGGTTCCACGCTTCATTTCCAACCCACAATGGCCACCAAAATCTCCGGATACCAATCCGTTGGACTATTGTACCTGGAGTATTTAAAAAGCAAGTTTGGTACTAAAAAATACCAAAGTGTCGATCACCTCTAGCAGGCGCTTTAGCGGGAATGGGCCAAAATACTGCAGAGCACCAATCGGGCAGCGTGTGACGGTTTCATTCTCCGTTTGAAGGCCATAATTCGTACGAAAGGTGACCAATTCGAACAAATCTAAACTTATTCTAAAATTTGATGCTATTTTCGACATTTTCTGCTTTCATTCAATAAAATGTAAAACACTGGCTCGTACGTCAGCGATATTATCGGCCGATCGCCTTGGTCGACTTTTATATGGCCTCTTCGGATTAGAAAGAGCCTTACCAGTCGAAAATTTTTCGTATAAACGCTTAATGGTGTTCTTAGAAGGCGCACTTCTCACATTTTTTTCACAATTGACTTCTTCTGTTGAATGTAAATTTCAACTATTTCAGAGAGCTCGCGTGGCGTGTATTGGTTCATGGTAAAAATCTGCTTGGACTGAAGCTTCAAACGCGGTATGTCATTAAGCGATGTGACATCTCTGTCAAAAGTTATGGCGTTGCCAGATGGGTCCGTCGAATATGGGCAACCCTGTATATAAAAATTATGGCGTTTGACTTTGTTGCAGTTTTTTTTTTATCTCACCTGTATTTGGTATTGGGTCAGGGCTGAAATCCTGAAATTTGATATAGGTGTCTATGTTGGTGTTTGTGGTTAAGATAAGAATGGGGTTTTGGTTTGTTCGAAAAGCACTAAGTAGTATTTAATTGGGTATTGGGTGAAGGGATAGAGGTGGAATCACGAAATTTGATATTGAGGTCTCTGGATTGAGATACGGAGGTTCGGAAATTAGTATTATAATTGTACGAAAATTACTAAATGGTTCTTAATTTGGATTTGGGTCAAGGATTACAGCACAATTTCTGAAATTTGATATTGAGGTCTATGTCGGTATCTGTGGTTAAGATATGGATTTTGGAAATGTGTACTATAATAGTTCGAAAAATACTAAGTGGTACTAAATTGAGTATCTAGTGAAGGGATAGAGCTAGAATCCCGACATTTGATATTGAGGTCTATTTTGGTATCTGGGTATGAGATAATGAGGTGGTTTTGGAAATGTTTGCTATAATTGTACGAAAAGTACTAAATGTTACTAAATTTGGTATCGGGTGAAGGAATAAAGCTAAAACTGCAAAATTTTATATTGCGATAGCTGTTGGTGTTGGTATTGAGATATTACGAATTATACGAACAGTACTAAATTTGGTATTACATGAAGGGATAGAGCTGGAATCCTGAAATTTGATATTGTGATCTCTGATGGTTTCAGGTGCAAATGCGTACTATAACTGTTTGAAAAGTAATAAATGGTACTAATTTTAAATCCCTGTTGGTGTTTAGGATGGAGAGATGTGTAATTCATCAGGGCTATCATAGAAACCAATTTTGTCACTATTGGTTTTAAAAACGACAAGAAAACATGCTTTGGTGTCATGAAAATCAATGTTATCGGTTTTATTTTCGAATTAGAATTTTGTCGGTTTTGGTTGTCATAGAAGTCAATGTTATTGGTTTTGTTATTGGAAATAAACCAAGCTGCTTAAAGCTGTCACTTTTCATTTGCTTTGGATTTTTAAACAATTTTTAAAGGATATTCAAAGGACTAAAATGTGGATTTTTTAAAGAACTTTTAAAGGATATTTAAAGGACCATAAACTTGGATTTCTTAAAGAATTTTTATAGGACTATAAACGTGGATTTTTTAAAGGACTATAAACGTGGATTTTTTAAAGAATTTTTATAGGACTATAAACGTGGATTTTTTAAAGAATTTTTATAGGACTATAAACGTGAATTTTTTAAAGAATTTTTATAGGACTATAAACGTGGATTTTTTAATGAATTTTTATAGGACTATAAACGTGGATTTTTTAAAGATTTTTTAAAGGACTATAAACGTGGATTTTCTAAAGGACTATAAACGTGGATTTTTAAAGATTTTTTAAAGGACTATAAACGTGGATTTTTAAAGATTTTTTAAAGGACTATAAACGTGGATTTTTTAAAGATTTTTTAAAGGACTATAAACGTGGATTTTTAAAGATTTTTTAAAGGACTATAAACGTGGATTTTTAAAGATTTTTTAAAGGACTATAAACGTGGATTTTTAAAGATTTTTTAAAGGACTATAAACGTGGATTTTTAAAGATTTTTTAAAGGACCATAAACGTGGATTTTTTAAAGGATATTTAATGGACCATAAACGTGGATTTTTTAAAGGATATTTAATGGACCATAAACGTGGATTTTTTCAAGGATATTTTATGGACCATAAACGTGGATTTTTTAAATGATATTTAATGGACCATAAACGTGGATTTTTTCAAGGATATTTTATGGACCATAAACGTGGATTTTTTAAAGGATATTTAATGGACCATAAACGTGGATTTTTTCAAGGATATTTTATGGACCATAAACGTGGATTTTTTAAAGGATATTTAATGGACCATAAACGTGGATTTTTTAAAGGATTATTAATGGACCATAAACGTGGATTTTTTAAAGGATTATTAATGGACCATAAACGTGGATTTTTTAAAGGATATTTAATGGACCATAAACGTGGATTTTTCAAAGATTTTTTAAAGGATATTCAATGGACCATAAACGTGGATTTTTTAAAGATTTTTTAAAGGATATTTAATGGACCATAAACGTGGATTTTTTAAAGATTTTTTAAAGGATATTCAATGGACCATAAACGTGGATTTTTTTAAAGATTTTTTAAAGGATATTTAATGGACCATAAACGTGGATTTTTTAAAGATTTTTAAAGGATATTTAATGGACCATAAACGTGGATTTTTTAAAGATTTTTTAAAGGATATTTAATGGACCATAAACGTGGATTTTTTAAAGATTTTTTAAAGGATATTTAATGGACCATAAACGTGGATTTTTTAAAGATTTTTTAAAGGATATTTAATGGACCATAAACGTGGATTTTTTAAAGATTTTTTAAAGGATATTTAATGGACCATAAACGTGGATTTTTTAAAGATTTTTTAAAGGATATTTAATGGACCATAAACGTGGATTTTTTAAAGATTTTTTAAAGGATATTTAATGGACCATAAACGTGGATTTTTTAAAGATTTTTTAAAGGATATTTAATGGACCATAAACGTGGATTTTTTAAAGATTTTTTAAAGGATATTTAATGGACCATAAACGTGGATTTTTTAAAGATTTTTTAAAGGATATTTAATGGACCATAAACGTGGATTTTTTAAAGATTTTTTAAAGGATATTTAATG